ACTAATCCTTCGCTCCAATATTGACTTAGTCCAAGTTATGCTTTCCTGGACCCTAGCTATGCATCTCTCCTGCTCTCTGCTTATATATTCTTGGCCCTTGATGTATTCCTGGCTCAGGAAACAACTTTTAGTGCCCCGCAAGGGCTGAGTGAGAATTGACAGTGTGTGCCAGAGTGAGAAGCAAGAGGTAGGGGGGCCTGTTTTAGTTCCACTGTGTTTGTAAGGTCACTCAGAGTACATCTGTATGGAGTGGGAACTCACTCGCTTTCACTGTCACAACCACTCACAACAGCCATCTGTAATGCTGTTATGTGGAGCACTGTGTCCCTTTGTCCCCCACACACACACACACACAAGCAACCACACACTCTCACACATATAAGGGTACACACATGTGCACGGAGACGCACACACTCGCACGGCGTCACCGTTCACACGACAACAAATGGACCAGTGCAAACACACATTAACATAATGCTAGGTTCTAATTGCGAGAGCATGTGTTTCTAATGAAAGGGTTGTTTTAGGGTTTTTTATTCTGCTCGCCTGTCAAACAATCCGCCCCGTGTTTTGAAATATAATTGTGGGGACTGTAAGAGTTTCGAAAGCAAAACCAAAACACCGCCGCCATCCCGGTGTCTAATGTTTCTTAATTTGTTAAAATATGCTGAGTGAATGACAAAAGTAGAAGTCTGACCTGCCAAAGAAAACATATCAGAGGTCCGAGGCTGTGTGGAAATACAGGCTCTCTTTTTAGAAAAACATGATCAATGTAACCTTTGTTACAGGAAGGAGGGAGGAGGGGGAGAAAACATACAGAGACAGTAGGTTCATGTTTGTGTACATGTTTATGTATCACCCTACATCTGCAGTGGGGGTGTATACATCAAAACAAGCGTAAGGATCCAAGAGGACAGTTTTGTTCTGTTCTGATGTTCGAGCATTGTTGTGGCGAGCCCAAGATTTGTGTTGTGCTGCGAATATCTTAGAGAGTTATTTTCACTAAAACTGTCAAATGCAGGAGAGGAAGAAGAGAGGGATTTAATCATTTACAGATGGGAAGTATAACTTTTACTTCTCATTTCGGCTCTCTCTGGCTCTGAGGAGGATGTGCCCCCCCCCCCCTCCCCCTTCCTCCTCTTCATACAACACACTTCCAACCCAAAACTAACATACAGCCTGGAAGTGGGCTCAGGGCTGTGTGTGTGTGTGTGTGTGTGTGTGTGTGTGTGTGTGTGTGTGTGTGTGTGTGTGTCTGTGTGTGTGTGTGTATATGGAGAACTCAAAATTCATATGGTTTTTAGAGCACCCCCCCTCACACCGCTTCTCCTTCCCCCCTGTCTTCCCTCTTCTCCCCTCGTATCTGTTTCTCCTGAAGAATAACATACAAACCCCTCTGTGAAAGGATTCATGGTTTATTAAACCAGAGGTCCTTTTTCCTGTTTCAACACCAAGAAGAAAAAATAAATACCAACCGTTTGTTTTCTCTCCCTCTGGCTCAGCCGGCTCTCTATCTCTCTATCTATTTTCATACTTTTTTTTTCTCTCCTGTCGTTTTTTTTCTATCCTCCTGGTTGGCTCTGTCAACCTTTAATTCTGTGTCCTCTGAACTTTCTGAAATCTAACAGTGTGTCTACTTTAAGTGTTTTTCATGTCTTGGACACATCAGCAGCAGAGTGTGTGTGACCCTCGAGTGGGTCCTACCAGTTTGTGATTGTTTGTGTGTGTGTCTCTGTTATTAAGGAGGGCAGACTAGGATAACTCAGGGTAATGCATTGTCCTGGGCGTGCACCCTGACAGTTCCCCCCCTGCCTGCGCCTGGTCATTCATTACTGCTAATTTGACATGTTTACGGACCCCCCTCCTACCATCACATACTTAAGGCAATCGACTGACCTTAAATGGAAACACCTACAGCCGCGCGGCATGTCAATATCAGATGAGGATGTTTGTGTCTCTGTGTGATGTGTGTGTGTGTGTGTGTACATACCTGGGAATCAGTGTGTCGATTCTGAGTTAGTGGATAATCTGGAGGAGCAGGTGAATTACGCCTGCGGAGACGCTTTTCCAGAATTATCTGAGTAAGTGTGTGTAATGTGACTAAGAGGTGAACAATTCTGAATAAAGCAGAAAAGTGTGTGTTTGTGTGTGTGAGGCCGAGAGGGCAGAGGGAGGCGTAGTGTGAGATAAGACCAGTGAGAGCGTCTCAATCACAGCTTCTCTAATCCCCCCCCTAGCCCCCCCCTCTGTTTGTCTTTTACATATTCAGCACTTAAATACAGTGTTGTGTCATTAAACGGCCAATCTTGCATTGTTCTCTCACTGATACACAACATTAATCACCAATTAGCTCGTCCTGCGACCGGCCACCTCTCTCATTAGAATATGATGGGATATAATGGTACTTAATGATGCTTAGGAAACATAATTAAATGACTGAGCTGTAGAACATGTGGAGGAACCGCGATGCATCAATCAAAGGCGACCCTGTCAATCCGCCGCTCGTCAGGACCAAAAACATACGGTGTGTGTGTGTGTGTGTGTGTGTGTGTGTGTGTGTGTGTGTGTGTGTGTGTGTGTGTGTGCGCCGAAACCACTGGCCTCTATCGTGACCTCATTAGAGAGAAATGAAGGGTGGATGTGTCCCCATCACAAGACGCCATCGGTGCTCCAAAGTGTGAATGACATTAATATGTGACTGTGTGTGTGTGTCCGTTGGAGTTTGGGTCGGTCTATCTGGCTGCACTGGAACAGACGAGGGGGTAAAAAAAAAAAAAAAAGGCCATCTCTCTGAGGTATCTGCTCGCAGCACTAATTAGCATGTGAATAAATGGAATAAATAATCTATATTATTTATGGATTTGCTTTTATCATTAATCAACATAACAAAAAGCTTGTCTAATGTGCTCGCTGCAGTAGCCACTGTACTGTCAGACTGAGGGGAGGAAGAGAGAGAGAGGAGGGGAAAGCGGGGGGGGGGGCAAATAGCTTATCTTTTGTTTTTTTTTCATTTCAGTAGAACAATAAAGATAAGTGTTCTACATGCTCGCTTAACACACACAGTTCGCCGGCCTCCTCCCCTTCTCTTTCCCTCTCTCTCTCTCTCTCTCGCTCTCTCTGCCGGCAGTGGTGAAATCCATCTCTCTATCGCTATCTCTCTAACATCCATTACATACCCCAGCCCCTCACCTCCCTACTCATTAGGCCAACGCACAGTAAATTAGCAGCAGCAATTACAGGGAGTATAAAGCATAGGCTCTGCCAGGCTCCCTCTGACAGGTAGCACACAGATCATAGACAGACACCCACAGTCAGCCAGGATAATTACTGTGGGAAACGACCACACACCTTCATATGAGCCATATCGCAAACCTGAAAGTGAGTGCGTGCTCGTTCTGGCTTTGCCTTGCACTCCTCACTGGTGGGAGTGTTTTTGCACGTACAGATGCAGAAAGGGAAAGCATGCATGGACCTGTAGACACACACACACATTGCAGGGAAGGCCTCTTCATCTCTGTATATTGTCCATTGTTGGTTTTTTTCTAACATAGAGTATAATTAATATTCATCCCTCCTCTCCTTGTCTATGTCTGCCTCCATTCTGAATACCCCCCCTCCAACTCCCATCCTCTCTCCTTACCATTTCTTTCCTCTCCTTTCTTTACCCGGGATCCCCATGGGGACTCCTGCTTTTCTTTCAAATATGCCTCTCTCTCCCTCTCTCTCTCTCTCCATGCACTCCTTCCTCCCTTCATGTGTCCGTGCAGGGAGGAGAGCGAGAGATGTTGAGGAATATGTGCATTAATATATTTCATTAGGAGACTAGTGGCAGAGAAGCTCCTGAACAGCATCTCTCTTGATGTGTGGAGCCTTTTGCCGTCTGTACGCAGAAGAGCTCGAGGTTCTCCAGGAATAGCGTCTTTAATGTTAGGTCTCCTGAGGTCTGCTGGCTCCACACTGCCCTCCGCCTCCCACTCCTATTGTCCTCCTCCCACACTGACCAGTCTATCCAGGCCTGAAAAGCATGCTGGAAATAAAGAGCAAAATGGGTTCACCTTTTGTCTGTGTGTGTTTATGATTTATGATTGTATATGTTTGTGTGTGTTGCAACACAGGCCGCATTTTGAGGGGAAGTAGAATCCCTTGAGCTACATGGTTGTGTTACTCGGCTGGCTAATCAAAAACATTAGGCTCCAGGACTCATGGAGTGTGTAACCTCCATAATTCAATATCCCACCTCTTACTGCTCAATCGTGCTCACTACACAACCCACTTTACTGTTTGTCAGCAAACTATCAACCCTCTTATTAGATGTATGGGGAAAAAAAGCCCTGAGCAGTTATGAACCTATAGGGCAATTAAGGAGGCAAACACACACACCAGCACACACTCTGTTTACGAGTCCTTATTTCATCAGTACTTCCAGGTCGTCCCACCGCCCCCCCCCCTCCCCCCCCAAGCGCTACGGAAGCCTCCAGTTACCGCGGAGACCCTGGAACACTGTGAGGTCAGCAGAATCCTGGGATCCGCTGTTTTCACGAGCTAATCCAATCACAGCCTCCCAAATTAGATATGCACAAAATAAAAAATAAATTAATTTTCTGCTGATGACCGGGTATGCAAATGATGACTCAATTATGGTGGGCTGGTGCGTTCACAATTAATAACCTTGGAATCATCATTAACTAATATGTTTAGGAGGAAACTTGTCAGGCTAACCATGTTCACCATGCCATCAGTAATGCATTAATGAATTAGATTCATTAGAGAGAGGAGCCTAGAGGGGGGAGGGGACGCAGGCCTGTTTCTGACCTGTGGAATTAGTCTTCTCTCCTTTTCTTAGCCTGACAAAAATGTCGAGCCTAATGTTTAAAACCATAAAAATATAAATAACTAAAAAGACAAATTCTAGAATTTTATGTGATGAAAAAACCGTAATGTGTGGTTTGCAATTCAGATCGAAAGCTGCATTGAAAATGACAAAATGACAACTGACAATGTCACAGACAAGAGGTAACTTTAATTCAACATTGTGAGAGTCCAAAAGTTATCTTACAGCTCAATTTTCATCAAAAACAATAACAATCTATACAGTAGGATTTTCTTCCCTTATATCATAGAGCTGTTCAGTGTATTTGCAGTCTAAGACAAAACAGAGGAAAAAATAGACACCAGCTATTTGGTTTGCATCTTTTTTTTGTTTGTTACCTAAATACAAAACTTTGTCACCCATTACCAATATTCATAATCAGGATGGAACTTCGCTTACAAAGAAGCCATTGTATGACAACAGACCTCTGTAGTTCATTTGAAACAGATATGGTGTGCCCCCCCCCCCCCCCCGCACCAGCCTGACCAGTGCGGGCACATAAGTGCCTGAAAAACACTCGTCCGTCAGCAGGCGCCTCTGTTAAAACGCTCCTTTCTAGCCACTTTACAAAACCAGTCTCTAGGAAAGAAAAGCAAAAGAGAAAAGCCCTATTCTCTGTCCAGCAACAGCTTGAAGACACACGGCAGACACAAAGAAAAGACTACAGAAATGGCTGAGGGGCCGAGGAGCTCACTTTCATGCTCCCTCACTTCTTCTTGTTCTGTTTAGCTCGTAATGAAGCCGTTTTGTCTGAAGGCTGATACAGGGGAGAGAGGGGGATCGACTGTCAGAGACCGGAGTCCGACCTATACGAGTTCATGTTTGAGATTAAAATTGTGCTGTGACAGTGCTTATCTCCGCTGTGTGCCCCTTTGTACTACAATTAACTCAGCGTTGTGTTGCCACACTGCTGTGATCCTGTGGTTAATGAGAAATGTTACCAACATGCGGTTTGAATTATTTCATTAATCAGAGAAAAGCTACATAATCGCTACAAAAAAAAGACAAAAGTGCAATATGCACAGCTGGGACAGGCCTCTGAGCGTCCTTCAAAGCGTGCCATTGCTGTAGTATTATAGTACATCGGGGTGTGTGTGATTGTTGAATTATGGCTCTTTGTATTCTAGTCTGGCTTCACCACCAAACAGAGTGGGTTTGTGCTTTGTCCCCAAGTTCCCATGAATTCCTCTGTGGCAATAGACAATTGTGGTCAGGGTAAAAAACTGTACACGTGATTGAATGAAGAATGGGTTTGCATTGTTAAGGCATCTAGACTGCTGGTAAAGATTACAGTGACAGAAAAAAAAGAGTATATAGATACAGTCTGTAAGCAGGCATAAATAACGCAGGAAAAGAAAGAACAGAGGGGAAAGAAGAGGAACTCAAAGAAAAGAAAAACACAGAGCAATCTCTTAGATCTCTTGGTTTGCACACACACAAAAAAAGAAAGTGTCACTCAAGAGAAGAACCCATGCATATTATCAGCTCAAGAACAGTTTCAATCTGAAAGCCTCAAAGAGTTCAAACAAAAAGATATAGATTTACAGTATATATTAATGTGTGTATATATTCTTAAAAAATCTACTTCAACCAAATACTCTGAATAAGATGCTACTTTTTCGCCATACAATAAACATTTTCATCAGGAAAAAAAAACTGAACTTTTTTTTATTAACTTACAAATAATACAAAAATAGACAATGGCATGTTTTGAAAATCAACAAAAGAAAGCATGAATAGCAACGCAAAACATATCGACATACAAAACAAATCAAAAGAGATAAAAAAGTCACATTTAAATAGTGTGAGACGACAGTAAATAATGAAACCAAACACTGTGAAATATGTTCACTTACTGTATTAAACTTACACGACACAACTAAACGAGGGTGAGTGGCAATGTACAAATATAAGGGATAAATACATTATTTATAGGATATTTTACAGGAATCCCCTTTTTGTATCCAAATCCATGTTTCTCATGTTTAGCAGATGAGATATTGACACACACAGTAAATCTATCTTCTGTACTGAGAAGCTGCCTTAAGACATTTAATGTTTACATTTCAAACTAGAGCTATCGCGAAAAAAAAAAAGAAAAAGAAAAAGAAATGTCAAATGAAAAAAAAAAGTCACTTTGTTTATATACAAAAATATATCACATATATCACGCATTTATTCTAATTCCATATTTGCTAGACTCCTCCTTCAGTACAGTGCTGGCTGGACGCACACATCCTAGTCTTCTCTAAAAATCACCTTCAAAGTTTTTGGCTAAATCGATCGCCATTTTTCTTCACAGGACAAGCAGAAAAAGCATATTGCAAACAGCTCAGTCCTCACAGTTTCATTAAAATTCAAACTAACAAACCAAGAAAAAGGAATACTAAAGAAAAAAAAAGGCATGTATGCTGATGTAAGGGAGATTCTGTTACACAACTTTTAGATTTATGGGATAATTAGCAGCAAAACTGAGGGTTGATTTTGTTCTTTTGTGTATTTTCCCTTTTTTTTTTTTTTTGTTCTTCTTTGTTGACCTTAGTTCTATTTGGCCGGTGTGTTGTTTTGTGGTTTTCAGCGTGGAGGCCGAGCTAAAGGAAAGCATCTTCTATTGTGACAGAGATTATGTAAACGTCATGGCCAAACCAACACTTGAGTGTTGTTTGTGCGATTTGTAGGGGTTGTGAGGGCGGTGTGGGGGGCTCTCTAGTACTCAAACCTTATAGGCATTAACATAAAGATAAATAAATGCTCCTTTCATGAGGTCAGTGTCACACTGTGGGTAAACTATCAGTCTCTATACACTCCATCCAACGCCGTGTCAGAGAAGCTACACTAATTCAACCAAGAGGGGAATAACATCACAGAGGTTTGTGTCGTTCCTTCTTTCTCCCTTCAGATGAAATCCCAATGGAAAGGCCTGAGTTTTACAGAGTCCTGCGTCTTATCTTCACTTCCTTCAGTTTCAGCTCCGGAGCATAACAGAGACTCGCCAGACTCTGCTTGCTGTGTCTTTTTCCTCCTCTCAACATTCCCAAATCTCCAGCTATCCCAGATCCTCTACATGGGTGGAACGATCATCCCAGGAATCGCTGTTTTGTGGGAAAAGAGGGGGAGGAAAATGGTGGGGGGGGGAGAGAGAGAGAGGTCAGTCGTGATTGCTGGGTTTCATCTGTCATCACAACAGCCATATAACAGAAATGTGCTCCAGCATCTGGCGCACAAAGACGACTCTGCCTCATTATCTCTTCATTCCGAGGCCGCCCAAATCAAAACATTTTCCTGCGCTGCTCCACTAAACTTGGCGCACACTGACAGCATCATTCAACTTTTCACAGGCTTTCTGAATAGCTTTCATGCAAGAGCTGCCACTGTTAATTGTTAGCAGCTCCATTGTGTAATGCCATTGTGCATCGTGGAGCGTGATTCAAACATGAGAGGGAGGCGCGGTGACGTGGGACAACAGAGGTGATGAAATTACACTCAACAGTTGAACATGGAAATGGAACCAATGAGTCTTTCTGGGGGAGCTTTAACTCCTTATATAATCCCCCTTGCTTCCCCTATAGCTTCCAGATTCTCACCTTCTCAATCCAAACTCCCTCCCCCCCCCCCCCTTTCCACTCCACTCCAACACAGAGGCCATCACAGTGAGGAATTTTTCATATAACATATTGGCTCCCTATTGATTCCCCTCTCTCTTCAATCCACTAATTCCCTGGTTATTTCCTAAGTGTCTCTGGCTGTGTGTGTGTGTGTGTGTGTGTGTGTGTGTGTGTGTGTGTGTGTGTGTGTGTGTGTGTGTGTGTGTGTGTGTGTGTGTGTGTGTCAGTGTGATCAGTGCGCAGTGGCCAGTGGCCTTTGGGTCACCGTGGTCAGCACTCATCAACGCCGACAGAGGAAGTGAGGAAGTGCTTAGCTTTGGGCTCTGATAAAGATTCCCATCCATCATTTCTCTCTCTCTCGCAGGATCTCAACACCATGAAACATCCTGCCCAGACCCACAGACCCCGTGCTGCATTCGATGGAAGTGGGAGAACAGAATGACCCGTGGTGTCATAACAATCCCCCCTAGTCCAGCACCAACCCCCCCTCTACAAAGACACCCACCAGAGCATGGGCAGGAAGCAGGAAGTGAAAACAGGAAATGGGACACATATGGCATGGCATGCTGTCTGTCTGACAAGTCAAGAGTGACAAATAAAAACAGAAAAGAAGAAGAAGAAGGGCAGGATGAGCTGCTGGTGAAGAGTGGAGAGAAACAGAGGAAGAGACAATATAAGAGAGGGATAACGTACTTCAGGAGAAGGCCAGGCCTTGCAGAGAGGTGGCTGATGAGTACTTGCTAGAGTCCACAAAAGACTGATCTACAGTGAGGAAGGAGAGTGTAAGGGTTTGGGGGGGAGTGAAGAAAAGGGAAATAAGAAGAGGAAGTGGGGTTAAAAGTGAGAAGTTGTTATCAAGAGGTGAAGAAGAGCACAATAAAAACTTGATTGATGCATAAAAACAGCAGATCTGCAATTATTGGAAGTCACCATTTACTGTATTTAAAGATTTAAAGATGGATGACGAGTCTAAGGGGAAAGAAGCCAAAATAGCCCCCCATTGGGCACTGACAGATTACACTATTGACATAAAAAAAATCTGACATATTCAACTAACTACAATTACAGAAACTATGTTTAAGAAAAATGTATTGGATGTTTACTGTCACTTCCTGGTTTGATTCACATCCCATCTGTTAACATGGAGGAGGAGGAATTCATGACTTATAAAGCAGCTAGTCATCAAGTGTTTTGGTTTCACTGTCAGGGAGCTGTCATGTTGTCCATCTCGTTATACAGTCTGTGGGCACCACTTAAATAAATGCTCGGTGGCTAACATTTCTTAGCTTACCTTGCAGGCCGTTAACGTTGCCGCTGGTGCACGTGGGAGGGGGTGAGTTCTGAGGTCGCACCACGGGGGCGAAGGCGCTCTTCTGCTTGACGGCAGCGGACACCATGTTCGCCGGAGAGAAGGAGAAGATGCCGGAGGAGCTGCTGCAGTTAGATGGCAGGCTGGTGGACGAGGCCATGGTGGGGCTCGACGGGACGACTGAGAGAAGAGAGACGGGTAGGAGAAGGGGGGGTTAAGGGGGGGGTCACAGGGAGCACGTCAGGGATGAATGACGGAAGGAAAGATGAAGATGGAAAGGGGGAGAGATGAGGTTAGAGAGAGGGCCGAGGGCAGAGGACGGGCAGACGGGATGAGCAGAAAGGGACTGATCAATGGATGATGGCAGGAGGGATAATGTTTTGGACTCAGATCATTTGGCTCAGACTTATTTGGCAAAACTTTTTGTTGTTGTTAAGCAATCACCTGATAATTAGATATTCCATAGCTAAGACAAAAATGTGTTAAGTTGGAACAGTTGCACTGAAAACAGCCCAAAGTTGTTTCCCCTTTAATCACTCTGTTTTGATGACTCATCCTGTTGCTAGAGGCCTGCAGAGGCTTGATAAACAACTCCGGCTAACTCGGGGTGCAGTACCTGTGATTTGTTTTTTTGGTGAGTTACAAACAAGGCCAGTTAATCTATTATCACAGAAAAGCACAGATGAATCATTAAACAGCTTGAGCAAATGGTACACAAGGACTGTTAAAATCAGCGTGACACAAATCCCTGCTTCTTTGTGTTTTTAGTGTCCAGCATAATAACCAGTTCATCTAAAACATTGGTTCCAAACCCTTTTTTCCTTAAGGAAAAAAAAAGACAGCTAGGATACATTGCTGTCAAAAGTTAACATACATTTGAATTGTTTTCATTGATAAATGTCTCCATTTTGGTATAAATTCAACATTGTACTAGACGAGGCCTACACACATGCTCTAGTTCTAGACAAACAATGTTTGTATAAACGATTTATTAAGTGTGATATCATGATTTTAGTTAATATGTGCAAATCTAATTTTGACAACCTCAGAGCAGGAAGTGCTTGTGCCTTTGTGTGTGATCTTTGGCATCCCCCCCAAGGGTGGCCTGGACCCAAGGTCAGAAACCATTGGTGCAAAGCATGAGGCATACTCACACCATGGTGAAATATGTTCATGTATCTTCAAAATATAGTGGGTGTAGAAGCTTGGTGATGTAGGTGCTTCAAAGACTTAGTTTGTGATAAGATAGTGAGTGTATCTTGTACAGGGTAGTAAGCCAGAACATACTAGCTCTATTTATTTAAAATACTTTAGTGAGCGTTTCTTTTGTTTTTCCTATGTGTAGCTTTTCCATTTTCATTGTATGAATCATTTCTTGAAAAGGGGAGAGAGTTACCTCAGTTGCTAACAGATAAGACTAATATTCTTTGTAAGACTGATATGCTGAATTCACTCCTATCTCATATCTTTCTCTAAACCACGTCTTTTTTTCTTAATTACATACAATTTGATGATGACTCCTAGCTAATAAGCTACATGAAAGATTCCTCCATTTTTGATTTTCTGTTCACTTAACAGTTCATCTCTTTGAGATGGAGCTGCGATCGGTTAATGCTGCATCAATAGTGAAACCATCACCAGTTCAATTAAACAGATTTATCATCTGAACAAAGTGTTCTCTTTCTAAACCCTTATCTGACCAGGCTTTAAAGTAAATATAAGAAGTCCTCAGCCTAAGGTTCACATCATCACCCCGGATTAACAGCAGCTCCAAAACTGGTATGTTGTATAATACTTCAGTTCCTGATATTAAGACGATATATAAGAAAGCTTTAACCTGGATTTCTAGAGCTATCATGTGCCACCTGCTCTAACTTATAGACATGAGACTCCACAGGCTAAAATCAGTTGAAGGTTATCTTTACAACCCAAATCCTGTCTCCCTCTGACATCACCCTATCCATCCACAGCTCAGTCTTTTGTCTGCTAATATACTAAGAGCATTTTCCCCCTCAGTGATTTTACAATCAAGCGAAGTCGTATTTCACCTGCCCTCTGATATCTGCTTCTGCCTTTATTGTTGTTATTATCCAACACTTAGCTTTTATGGCTCTTCCTGACAAATCCCTGCAATAAAGTCATAATCCATTTATGAAGGGGCCTAACTAATCAATTAATGAAAATTGGACCTACAAAGGCAGGCCGAGGGGCCATTGATTGAAAGTGTCTGTGTGGGGCCGATGAGCCTGTTAAAATACTTGTTAACACCCAGGAATCAAAGCGCTGAAATGGAATTGCTTCTCTAGCAATTAGTTTATTGATTTAATCAAGGGTCTTTAATGTAGAGGGTGAGTGTGTGTGTGTGTGTGTGTGAGTGTGTGTGTGTGTGTGTGTGTGTGTGTGTGTGTGTGTGTGTGTGTGTGTGTGTGTGTGTGTGTGAGCAGAGCTGGTGGGGTGTGTGTTGGGGCGGAGGGGGTGCAGGTGATCTGCTCCCCTGGCCAATAAAGTGGGGATTTGTGTTTGACTCTGTTCTTAAAGAAACAGATGAGCCAGCTGAACTGCAGCACTTTCTTCTTTGTGTCAATTCTTATTTGCACCTCCTGCTCTGACTCCCTGTGAAATACTGCTTTTTTATCTTTAAAAGGATCCGATTCAATCTGTTTTTTGCTTATTGTTTCCTTGATTAAGTCTTTCCCTCTTAGTTTCAGATCGAGGATGTGGTGTGTTTACTCACTAGCATAGGGCGAGTTGCCTGCAGATCCATTGAGGAAGTTGGGCGAGGTGCCCAGGGTTGCCATGCCAGAGTTAGCGTAGCCGTTCATGCTAGTGGAGACAGAGCTGTAGCTACTCTGCTGGGGGGTGGAGCTGGGGACATAACCATGAGGGGACACACTGCTTGTACTCCTACTGAAACCTATGGACAGAGACAGACAGGGACACAGAGAGAGAGGGAAAGGTGTTAGGGGCTGTTAGCAGAAGGCGGACAAAAAAAAAAGGAATTAGAAAGCCAAACACTCAAAACAATGTTTAAGAATAAAAGAAAAAAGAAATTCTTTGAAAAGACAGTATAGGGAAGAACGTAAAAAGAAATGACCAGAGCAGAGAAAAAATGACACAAGAGAGAACTAGCTGCAATATAAGCAGTGAAACAAGAGGCCTTTAACCTCACTGGCTCCTCTCCAAAATGAGATCTATTGATAAGGCAATTAACACTAAAAGGCCTCTGCAGCTCTCCTGTAATTCATAAAGAATGAAGCCAGTATCTCTGACAGGACCCTATCCTCCTTTATGCTTCACAGGGGCAGCTAACAGAAAGAGGAGCAGATGGAAAGAGGACTATAATAATAATACATCTCAGACCCAACGTGCTGACACTGAAGAAAGAAAAGAAACAGCTGGAAATGAGCATCAGGATTTTCTGCTTTCTAGTGCAACAAAAGGCTGCACTTCCCTGCTGTTTTAAGCCTCTCATTCCATATTTAAGAATCACAAATTCCCTGTCTGATTCCGTTATGTGTTGCAATCTTTTACCCCCTTACGGCACACAGCTGATATCTGTTGTTTTCTTCACACCACAACATGTTTCCAGATGAAGATGAAGGACAGAGGAAGAGGCGAGGCGAGCTCATTGGAAGTATTGAGACACATCCAGAGGGCTGCTTTCCTCTCCTCCTTCCCCTGATACACGTGATGAATCACCGCTGACTGCACCCACATCTCTCTCTGTCAGACGGGGGGCCGACCCCAGTCTAATATACACACCCCTAGGACCCACTCATATTTCTCCATCGTACTCCATCCGTGGCTCCCTTTTTCTCCATACTTCACTCTCTCACCTTCGTTCTTAAGTTTTCAGTGTTTTCTCTTCCAGCTCCCCTCCTCCTCCTCCAACTCCTTCTGTCCTCTTTTTTTCAAGTTCTGCTTGTTTTCATCCTGCTCTTAAATTACACTTTCTAAATTTCTCCACATGAAAAATTAAATGTCCCTGTAGCACTGCTCATGTTTACTACACATCCTTCTTTCCAAAAAGACAAAAAAAAAAAAAAGAAGATAAATCACTGCCACTTCTCCCAATGATGTCAGACTAATTGTTTCCTGTTGAGTTTGCTCACCCTGATTGGCCGTTTGTGCCACCTCTGACCCGGTGAAGGAGTTCACAGACATCATGCCAGCATGGACGGAGCCGCTGCCAAGACCAGTGAGCTGATTGTGCCCTCGTGGCACCGTCGTGTAGAGGGCCTCTGCGATGTCTGCAGCTCGTTTCAGAATCATCTCCTGGCAAAGAGAAAAAAGAAAACACAGCTGTGGTCAGGAAGAGAGGGCAAAGGAGATAAGAAGAAGATTTGTCCTTATTGAGATATTGTGCATGTAAAGCTTGCAGGCGGAGTGGTTTTTTATCAGTGGTCACTGGGAGTGGTGGGATTGGTTCCAGTAAATGGAGGGAAGTCTCATTAACAGACTCATCAAGTCTTTCCTGGTGCTTCCTCTTTTCCTCCCTGCTTCATGCATCCTCTTCTTCCTTATTTGCTTCTCTGTTTTATCTCTTCTCCTCCTTCAGTGTCATTGTGCTTCTCATTCCCTCAACAACATGACATAAAAAAGCTACCATGATCTCATGTTTATGTTTTTTGGGTCCTACATCTGAGGCAAATATTGAGGCATCGAGTCCAGCGAAACACCCTTTGTTGCTGAACCACACACATCATTTCCTGTGAGATGAATTGATGTTTGTGTTTGTGTTTGTGTTTGGTATTTACCTGGTTATTATGAGGCATCCCGTACAAAGCCTCCACCAGGTCGGCTGCTCTCTTTAAGATCACCTCCTAAAACAAAATCAAGCACAGACGGAGAAAAAAAAAAAAGGGATTGATCATGAATGTGACGGCTCACAGAGTTCAGTCACTTTTATTACATTTCACGTCCTACATTATGCTGTGAATGCAGAACAGAGAGAGTGCAGGAAGAGGAAGGAGAGGCCGACGAAGGAAGGCAGAGGAAGAGAAATGGGCCTGTCCTGGCACTTAGTTACTAGCCGGGGCAGTTTGGGAGAGCAGAGGTAAGACACTGTTATCTGTGAATAAAACATGAGCCTATATCTCTATATCAGTCAAGCGTTTTCTTACGTCTTCTCCTCCTCCTCTGCTGTCAGCAAGCCGATCATGAATCCAGCGCACATGATCACACATCAATCTCATTTAACACAACAGATCATCAGTTTGGACGGCTGTACAACTCCGGGACACACACCCGTCTCCTGCCCTGTATTAACCCTGGTAATGATCCAAGTGAATAGCCCTGCATCCACTTTGTGTGATAAATGTAGAACATCATCGCTCAGGTAGAAAACCACCGAGTGGAATTTCCCACATCAAACATTTATCCTCCCGTAGTGTTGCCACTTTCTCTGCGCTCATTTTCTACCGCTTACCCTTCTTTCTCTCCTCGCTCGCTCCCTCTCTATTCTTTCCTCTCCCTGAGCGTATGAGTGTGTGACTCTAGGCAGTCGTTTATATGTGTGTGTGTGTGTGTGTGTGTGTGTGTGTGTGTGTGTGTGTGTGTGTGTGTGTGATGTAGACACCTACAGCCCTTACGAAACCCTTTTTAAAAGTTAATGTGCCGGGGCCAGGATATATGCTGGAGGCGCGACAACCAGAAAATTGCAGCCCCCCTCCCCTACAACCTTCCCCCTCGTTTTCCTCTCTCTCTCTCTCCCTTCTACTCGCGCACACACACGCTGTGCGCTATACCCTCCTGAGTGTATCCCTCGCTGTGAACAAGCCCCGGAGCATGTGTGCTCTCTGTTCCGTGACACACCGCCTTTCAATCAGACTCATATCACACACACACACACACACACACACACACACACACACACACACACACACGCAGCCAGCGTGCACATGTGGAGGGCTGTCGAGCACGCCCAGGACATGACGAGAGGGTCAGCAAAGCAATAAAGATTGTAGAGCGCTGTCCGAGGTGCTAAATTCACTCAATAATGGGAGCGCTGCCTCTGTGTTAACCTCCCATTACTAGCACTATCTGGGGGGGGGGGGAGAGAGGGAGGAGACAGAAAGAGGGGAGACCAGAGAGGAGGCCTGTTCGAGGTGATTGAGAGATGTAGAGGCCCTGGGAAGGTAAGTGGTTCTTTAGTATGTATGCACCGCTCCTCGCTTCCTTCTCTCTGCTGTTCCTCGACTCCACATGCCTCCCAGGGATTGCTAGATAGGTAGATGGATGGATGATGGGAGGGAGGGGAGGAGGAGGAGGGGAAATGAGGAAAGAGTAAGAAGAGTAAGGCATTAGGGCACAAACAGATGCGCAGCTGGAGCGTATAGTGGTGTTCAGGGAGGATATGTGAAACCCTAGTCACTTCATCTTAAACATTTTTTTTTGCCTCTCTTCAGCAGCTATGAGTTTTAAAGCCCTCAGCTCTTTCCTGCTGCATGTCTCCATCTCTAAACTCCACCCTTCTCTCTTCACCTGCAGTCTCCAAATGACTGTCTCCTGTCTCTCTCTCTCTCTTCTTTTTCTCTCTCCCATTGTCTCGATTAATCACTCTCTGGTGGGTTCTGCTCCCTGTCTGTACCTATCAGCCTCTCGTTAGCGGAGGGATCTGTCCAGTGGCTAAACGCGATTAGGCAGCAGCGCTCCAGAGTCGTTCTGATAAACAGATAAATGTGGTTAGCGCCGTGCTGCCTCCCGAGCTCTGCCACTGTAAGGGGAGACCATTTCCTGGGCGCAGGGTCTCTTCCCGTAAAAGGCAGGCCCCACAGAGACGTCAACAGGAAGGGGAACCTGATCCAGAGCAGAGCCTGGCCCCTGTCTGGCAGGGCGGTCACTCATTAGCTGGCCCCAGACCCCCAGCTACAACCACAGCCTCAGCTGAACACCCTGCAGCCTGCCTGTGCCACTGATCATTACAACAAAATAAAGAGAGAGAAGAGGCTTTAACACATATTCTGCATGATTCCTTCACAATGTTTTGGAGTTTGTTGAAGAGAGATTTAATTTTTTTGAGAATTACTCAAAGTCAACATGGGTTTGGATCAACTGGGGCACTAACTTATGAAGGATTGGCATGAAGTAGTTTGTGCACACACTAATGTAGCATTTCCAATAATCCCATCTAATTTAATTGCTAACAGTAAGGTGACATACAGATTCCACAGATTTGAAGATTTATTTATGGGCTTTTGTGCATTTAATTGAGAGATAGGACAGTGGATAGAGTCAGAAATGAGGGAGAGAAAGAGAGTGGGGAATGACATGCGGGAAAGGAGCCACAGGCTGGATTTGAACCTGGGTCCGCCCGCTTGGAAGACTAGAGCCTCCACACATAGGACTAACAACTGCGCCCTGACATATCATCTTTTTAACTTGGTTCTTGGGTACTAAAACAAAGATGCACCACCCACAAGCATACATGTGCTATATAGATGCCATAGAGTCTCCTAGCCGCCTGATTAAGGGGGTGTCCAGGCTACCCTTGGCCAAATTCTGACAGCTGATTCCTGTAAGCACAGCCCCTGTTTGGAGAAGCTGGTCAGGGTACGAACACAGAGGACTAGTATGCATATAGGACTACAAATATGGACGTTGACTGATTTACAAAGTAAAGTTCTGTCTGTATGTAAGGTCAAGCTGTTAACATATCCATTATGTTGTGTTATGTAGTTGAACTCATTCACAGCTAAGGTTTTGTTTCAGTAGCTCGTCCAAAACATTTACTGACGGTAATACACTAACTCTTGTAAATCCACACCATCTATTTAAGAGGCCCTTTGAAAATGGTGCTACTAGATTGTAATTCAGTTTATTCCCGATCAATTTGATTTCAAAACATTGTTTTGGAAGACAGAAAACCACAAAGAGGTGTTGCCATGGCGACCTTGACTGGACATTTGTTGCAGCAGAAGTTGTCCGCGTTTGCCCCTCTTTTGCACCCTCTCTCCCTCATGATTGAGGCCAACAGTTGAGAGAAGTGTGGTCAACAAACTGTTATTACCTCAATAAAGGCACAAATCAATAGAGCTGAAATGAACAACCGGGGCCTGCAAGCTACCGCTGTTCATTTAGAAGAGAAAGAGACACCACGTAGAGAGTGAGGAAGAGGAGGAGAGGAAAAAAAGATGGATGGACATGGAGATATTTAGAAAGATACGGGGGGGGGGGGTGATAGGCTAAAGAGCAGAACTCACTGGGACAGGTCTTGTATCCAGCAGACATGACACACAGCGAGGACAAGCCATTTCTCTCTCCTCCTTCTACCTGCGCTCTTCATCTCTGCCTCATGGTGACTTCCCCTCTGCTCAGTGTGAGTGCACGCTGAGGCGAAAGAGTTGTGTAGGTGCATTTCTACCTGTGAGTGTGTGAGCCTGTTTGTGTATATGTGTGTGTGTGTGTGAGAGAGTGACTGTGTGAGTGTGTGTGTGCTGGAAGTAATAAAGTCCACCCGGGGTTGACTTCGATCCACTGACCCAGCAGGAGGTAAGACTGGACAGCTATGATGGATCACCTAACCTGCTTCTGCCTCTCTCTTCCTCTCTCCCTCAACCTCCTTTCCTCCCTCTCTCCCTCTCTCCCTCTCTCCCTCCCTCCCTCCCTCTCTCCCTTCCCTTTCCCACTTTGCCAGTCTAAATGACCTTATAGTCAGTGGAAGGATGAATAGAGCTGCTTGTGTGTTAGGCTTTTGCAAATCAAGTGTTTGTTTGGGCAGAAAATGAGCATGAATATATGATAAAAATTGTTTGAGTGCGTACATAGTGTCATGTATAGTCTACTGTCTGTAGCACACAGCCACTCCTCTGTATGTATGAGGTCACACTGCCCTTGTGCCATGTATAGCCATATGTGCTATGAAACTCTAGAAGTTATCAATATCTCTCTGTTACCAGTGTTACCAAGTCAGATTCCTTTTAAATTAATTACAAACATGGAAACATGTACGCACACAAGAGGACTGAGAGCAATGTACCTTGGGTAATCTCTCCTGGTCTCCGGGGTGTCTGGGGATGACCTTCTGTAACCTCTGGAAGCCATAGTCTATGGTTGGCTCGTTCAGCGCTGAGGACAAGCAGAAAGAGAGACAAGAAAATCGTTCAATGCTCGATTCTTAATAATGAAAAACACCTACTGTTCAAGGAGGACAGAAACGAAGCGATTCTCTTCCTGTACGGTAGAAAACGATGAATTAACATGAATATTTCAATATTAAACCAAACACGCTGAAAATGTGGGTGTTCTCTATTAAGTCTGGTGTGTGTCTTTGTTTGCCTGTGATGTAATGAATCTCTCTCTGTCGGCCTGCTTTGGTGGTTAATAAAAAGACTGTCAGGAATCAGGCGGAGTGTATACGTGTGTGTATGTGTGTATATATATATGTGTGTGTGTGTGTGTGTGTGTGTGTGTCTGTCCTGTGGTCTTGCGTTGATCAGCGACTAATATAAGCAATTACAGAGCCTGGTTCCAATATAACAAAGGCTTGATCGCTCCGGGGAACCAGCTAAACACACACACACAGAAACACACACACACATGTAGAGATGTTGCACACACACACACACACACACACACACACACACACACACACACACACACACACAAACAGACACGCACAGCAGAGTCAAATCATCCAGCGGCAGGGAGAAAGCACTCTCTCTCTCGGCATGCTGTGGTCGTGCTGCGGTAATTGAATATGAGAAGATTTACCATGAATATTTAAACATTAGAATAAATACAATGAAGATCTGAGGCTTATAGTACAAACACTTCAGAGGAGGATTGTTGGATAAGTGCTCTCTCCACATAATTCATTCCTAATGTACTCTCTCTCTCTCTCTCTCTCTCTCTCTCTCTCTCTCTCTCTCTCTCTGTCTTTTACCCTCCGCCCCCCTGTGTCTCTTTGTGGGCTGCCTGGGGAGTAAATGCGCACACACTGATAACTGTCTTGACTTCTTCTCTATATGAAGCTGCTACTGTACAGACTGTGTTTCTTGTGTTTTTTTTTATACTTGTATTAGTGTAAAACATGAAACAGAAGCAGCCTTGTGCGTGAGGATTGCCTGTATATATGTCTGTCCCGTCCGTCTGTTTCCCCCGTGGGTCGCAGCTTGGACGTTTCCTGAGGGCTGATGCCCCGCTCGCCTCACATCTGAGCAGCCAGGCTGACTAGGCGGCCCCCAGAAAAAAAAAAAAGGGCCCCTAGAGGCTATGAGTACAAGCTGTCCTGCTGGACCTCTAGTGACTTCACCACGGCAGCCTCCTGAGCCGCGCGCACAAACACACACACAAACACACACACACACACACACCAAAGGAAGAGCAAGAGAGAGCAGAGAGGGAGCGAGAGTCGGTGATGCTCTGTTTTGGCAACACAAACGTATTTGGGCAGCTCTCCCAGCGGAGCGTTCCAGTAATCCATAAGAGTGAAAAGAAAGGAAAGGTGAAAAGCTGGAAGCAAAGGCAGAACAGAGAGAGAGAGAGAGAAAGAGAGAGAGAGAGAGATGCCAGGGGCGGGCTCAACTTCAGAAGAATGACACACATTATTACAGGCCAGCTGGTCCACTGATAAAATAAGCCAAAACAATGTGATGATCACATGCAACAAATAAACTCTGAATTATTTCTGAGGACAAATATTTGACATTACTTCCGTATTCTCTGATCTCTGTAAAGCCTTAAGGAGGATTTGCCCTGGATTAGGCCCGCAGTCTGAGGAAGGGATTGTTCCGACAACATCCCCTCTCTCTTCGTCTCAAAGGCTTTTGTTTTTCATGATGAATTTTTTATCAGTTCCCCACAATGTGCCAAATGAGCCTCGAGTGAACAATAGCATGAAAACCCCAAGACGTACACAAGATACCCCCTATTACAAATAAAGAGACTATTTTAGGTAATTGAGAGAGGAAGTGATATTGTCTCGGCTCATTTTCAAGGACCATAAAGCAGAGGAGGAGTATGTGGGGGGGACAATGGCACCTCTAACCACCTTGCTGTGTCTCTTTGGGGATTATCTTTGTGTTTTATGCTCTTATATGAACGCTTAATTATCTCAATTTATAACAAAATGTAGTATTAGAAGAAAAAGAAAAACTCATCTGCCTTGAAAGAGGAGTGGTGTGTCGGTGTCAGTATACACTCCAGGATTCAAAGCACACTCTCCCATACAGGTATATTTATAATCCTTAGCTGTCGCTCTCCAGAAGAGCAAATCAAAGCCAGTAAAACATAACTGCCATAAATAAATGAATAGATGAGCAACAGCCCTGGACTGGAGGGATTCACCTAGCAATCACCCACATCAGATCAGATCAATGCTCATGGAAATTTCATGAAGCCTAGAATCCACACCGCTTCATATTTCACTATAATAACCCACAGAGCCGCAGGGGGAGTGTGTATGAAGGGGTGCGGGGGGGGGGACTAGGGTGGAGGGGTGCTGGAGGTATGAGCTGGAGGGGAGGAATGGAAAGGGGGGAGTGGAGGTTTGGGGTCGCAAAGAGAAGGTGGAAGGCGGGGGGGGGGGGGGCTAGTGGATAATTGAGAGGTCAGCACGGTGGAGGCGTCCTGGAAACACAGAGAGGAGGAGGAGGGAGGAGATGAAGAAGGTGGAAGAGAAGGAGGAGGAAGGGGAAACTTCAGTAAGTGTCCGGCAGACCCTGTCTCTCCCCCCCCCGTGTCGGGCGTAGGATACTTGCAGGGTTAGGTAATTGGCTCTGAGGCTTTGGTGTTAACACCTTAACAGGCCCTCAGACGCTGGGTAAGGAGCTGATCATATCACAACCCTCTGTTTCTCTCACTCTCCACTTCTCCGTCTCTCCCCCCCTCTCTCCCTCCCCCTGCAGTCTCCAGTGCTCAGGTGTGATCTCATAAGCGCTGCCTTGCGATCGATGCCGCCAGTGGCAGGGGGTTCAATAGCCCTGAATTACGGCTTCATTTCTCCCCCCCTCACACAGATGAGAGCCAGCCACCCCCCCCCCCCCCCACACACACACACACACATATACACAACACCCCCACTGACTACTCACAATCCAGATCAATACCTTACAATCTAATTTTTATCCATTTTTCCATAAACCCAGAGATTGCGTTTATTTGCAGAATCCGACAAGCTAAATAAAGCATCGCTTGAACATGTCAGGGAGACTAATGCATGGCTGGAAATTCATACGCAGAAAACAGATGAGTGGAGCTTTTTGCTCCTAAAGGAAGGGAGAGGCTGAGGCAGGAGGGGGGGGGCGGGCTAAGAGATCTGTAAAATCAATGGAGGTGTGGATGCTACTACAACCTAAGCTCTAATTATCTTTTGCAAAAAAAAGTGCATGTCGACAGTTAACAATACCTGACAGCACGGATCCTCACCGGGAGAATGCAAATCTTGGGAAATGTGGAGGGAAAAGTGTGCGCTTGAATTAAGGTATAAGAACACATAAGAAATCATTCCCCCCCGGTGAACGCTGCTCATTTCAGTGGGGTGTAAAATCATCTGTGTTTCGAAATTCATTTACATCATCATCATGGACCAGATGCTCCTGTAATAAGAACGGAGGCTGCTAAAGAGGGGAGACAAGCCACATGGTGCAGAAAATTAATCTCAATCTCAAATAGAGGTGTGAATCTCCTCACTGTTAAGACTGTGTGCAGTAAACGTGAGCATGTGCAGCTATCTCAGCTGGCCCCCCTGTCTCTCCAGCTGGAGACCAGCCGTTTTAATCAACAGCAGGCCTCCACCCAAGCTCAATAAAAGAAGCATTCACAAATAGGAGCAAGACGAGTAATTGACCGGCTTGTGGTTGCACCCCACTTTTATTGCTATATGCCTACATGCTGCGTGTGTGTGTGATTGCAGGTGTATCCATTGTGCATATTAATGTAGAATAATCTGTCAATCTATTCACTTTTTTGTGTATTTTCTCACAAATTGCACCAAAATGTGAGCATGAGAAATGTTCCTAGTTTGAAGTTCTTAATCTCTAAATCTGAACAAAAACCCAGTCAGAGTGTGTCACTATGTGGAGTTAAAATGAATGTAAACTTTACAGAGCGTCTTCATGCTTACAACACCGTCTGTGCCCACATCCTCTGCCCTTCACTACGCTGTCTGTACTGTATAGAAATGACAGACAACTGACAGTCCTCCTTCCACTTCTAAAACTCATTTGGAGCTCAGAGTCAGGCAAGAGGAGAGACGGAGAGAAATGTCAGCAGCATCCCACCTGGTTTAAATTCTGTTCTTGACTTTTGTCTTTTTCCCTTTGCTCTTCTCAGCGGCTGAGTGATGTTTCCTACACACCTAATCTGCACTCAGCGCTGAAAAACTACCCCTAATGTTTGTGTGTGTGTGTGTGTGTGTGGATGCGTGTTGCCGCGCTCGGTGCCGGCCTTAATGTGAGCCAGCAGAGCCTTTTAATATCAGCAGAAGCTGTAGTGGAAAGCACTAAGCAGACAAGGCTGCATACTGAGGAGGGGAGGGATTGCCTTTTGAACGACAAGGGTGATTCATCAACTCCCCCCAATCTATGGCCAGTATCCCTATGTCACAAACACACACACACACACACACACACACACACACACACACACACACACACACACACACACACACACACACATATACACACACATCAGGGACCCTAGTGGCAGAGAGTATTATCACTCTATATTGCACGGAGAAAAGAAAAAGGGGGAGCAGCTCTGATGAATGTTACAAAGACAGCAATCCAGTAAAAGGTGATACACAACCAAACATGGATATGCATTTGTACAGGGGGGGAGGAAATGACCTGATAACGAGAGAGAGAGAGAGGAAGTGATAGAGAGAGAGAGACAGAGAGAGAGGGATTAGGGGGAGCTCTCAGCCCCAGAGGTGGGTAAGGCAGAGGGCAGAGAGAGGAACAGAAGGGGGGATAAGGGGATAAAAAAGACAGAGGAAGAGCAGAGAACGGAAAAAAAAACCACATTCTTTTATTCTTATCAGTGGAGAGCTTAATTGCCTTTGATGAGTCTAATTGAAGCTTTCTGAAGTCTAATGGCGGAGGAGTCCTCAGAGACGGCAGAGGACACATTACTGTAATAGCTTCTCCTCTGTACCAAAAGTCCCCTGCTCGTCTCCTCCGTCCTGAACTACAGCTGAGATGTTACCATCCAACGACGGGTGGTTTGTGAAGTATCAATGATCATGCAGAGGAGGAGGGGGGGGGGGGGGTATGCTTGCAGAGTAGCGGTAGCAGCAATATTGGGGATGCAGTGACTTAATTAGGTCTGTGAGCTGCTCGCTTCCCTCTCCTCAGCTGAAGTTGATTAGCAATGCCAGCTGTCCCCGATGTGATTCAATGTGCGCATGTGTGCGTGCACACAGTAATATACGAGTACATGCATGTCTGCGGGTGTGGCGCTGTGTTGATGTGTGTGTGTGTTGATGTGTGTGTGTGTGCTAGCTGCCAGCTGCCACGCGGTGCTGCCAATCCTCCATGATTAGTACCCACTGGCAACTGGGCTCAAACTGGTGCCAAACAGACCCAGGAGGGCAACATGGCCCATGGTAATCCTGCATCCCTCTCTCCTCCCAATCCTTCTCCCCCCCTTTTTCCTTCCTCATCCACCACTCCCATCCTCACTCTCATCTACGCCTGAAATATCCGTCATCCTCGCTCTCCGCCTCTCATTTAAGATGTGTAAAAAGGTTCCAGGAGAGTTTCGATATGAGGGCGTGAAAGTGATTTAAAAAAAAAAAAAACCTGATAAAGACGCTATGGAGAAGTACAAATACCCCGCTGAGGGTTAAAAAAAGCGATGGCGGTGTGTGAAGAGTGGAGCTGGGATCTATGCCTCGTCATGGTTGACTGTGTCACCGTGAAGGTGCAGCAGGCGCTTGGCAAGTAGCATCACAGAGTGTGTGTGTGTGTGTGTGTGTGTGTGTGTGTGTGTGTGTGTGTGTGTGTGTGTGTGTGTGTGTTCAGCTCCCAGCGGATGACCTCTTGCTACCTCTCACCTGTTGAGATTCTTCTCTGTGCCTCCGTAGAAGCCAAAAGGAAAAAAGAGAAAGAGAGAGAGATAGAGAGAGAGAGATAGAGAGAGAGAGAGAGAGAGAGAGGAGGGAGAGTCTATCCAAAAGAAGCAAGTTTTGAAGAAGTGAATGTGACAAGGGGAAAGAGTGGAGGGCTGGAAGAGATAGGGCGTTTATGCATACGGTTCCCACATGTCTGGCACATTAAAACGCTGCACACACACACACACGCACACACATACACGTATACACACACAGCTCTATGGGTTTGGCAGGGTGTGTGCTGTTGGACAGCTCTGGCATGGTAAAGGCTGCCCACCCATCTGCCCTCTGTCTTACTAATGCAGTTACTCGTCAAAGTGCGCCTGTGTGTACTTGGAGAACATTTACACTTCCCTACAAACAAACACAAACACAGGCAGCCTATTGCAGCCTGTCCCCATACATACACAAGCACAGAGGCATGATTATGACCCATGGACATGGATTCTGTCCATGCATAGCAATTATGATACACAAGATGCAGAAAAAATTGCACAGCAGTGATGTTCCGCACACGCGTCGCTCAATTGTGATTTTGTCAAATGTTGGCAATTCCAGCCGGGGCTTACAGCCTAAGTCTATCAGTGGTTGAGATTACAGACAGATTTATGTGATTCACAATCTCCCCGGGGGAACCCGTGGCCTCACATTGGTTAATCACCGCTTCACGTTCGCTCTCTCCACCGCTCTTTTCACCACACGGCTATAACTCTGTGCTGATATGCTCTGATGTAACGCTCCAGCTATTCAGGCTCCTGCACTCACAGTCACAAAAATCACACTCTGCTCATGGAAAACTCTTCCTTTGTGATTCACGCCTTTCGATGGGGTTAAAACTCAATAATCCCACTAATCAAAAAGGTTAAACCTCCTCCTGACCTTCACCTGCTTCATAAAAGAGGGCAAACACTTTTCCTCCTCTCATCAGCAGGCCCTTTCACTGAACTATTGAGTCCTTTTATTGAATTTCAAGTTGTTTAGCATGCACATTTTTTCCCTCTGGAAAAAGTGAAGAAAAATAGCATTGTATAGAACCAGGTACTCTTATCAGATATAAAGACTGTAAAAAACTGAAAGGAGCCATTTGAAGCTGTCTATGTGATATAAGTGCACAATGCTCTCAAAGAAAGTTGTCCGCAAAAAACGAGAGAATAAAGATTTAATGAGAAAACCAGCATATAGGTGGAAACGACTTCATCCCCGTAGATTAAAGTGCTAATGAGAGTCATTAGTAAATGTTAGTGTGTAGCCGGTACCTGTATAGATGAAGCGTCCAGGTGTGCCTTTGCAGAACTGTTTGGATTTGTAAGACAGCGTGACCTCCACCACTCCAGGGATGTGTCTGGGCGGAGTTTGCACACGGATGGCATGGGGGGTGATCAGCTGCAGAGAGCCAGAGAGAGAGGGCATTAAAAAAATTAATGCAATGAAACTTCACATCCAAACACGAGCTCGAGGGACTTTATTCTGGGCTCGCCCGAGACCTTTTCCTTTCAGCTTTTGACTTTTCTTTCTTTGTATAATCAGCCTGAAAATGATGCGTTAGCGCCAAAGCCCTCAGGTGGCCTCGTAGCCTGAGGCAATGTCACTGTGAGGCTTCAGGATGGTTATCAGTGCTGACACGGGCTCTGTTAACGGGGTTCAAAAGCAGTTATCAGTTTATGAATAAAGCACAGCTTCCTCTGCATACGTCTATTACACAGTGTGAGGAAAACGTATAATCCGCCCGTCTCTGCTGCTGCCCCTGTCTCTGTGTCTGTCAACTGTGGATGTGGATGTTAGCAACATTAAAGCACCGCTGTCTCTTAAACAGGCTCACTTAGTGTGGTTGATGAGCCACTCGCCATGCATGTCTGTGTGTGTGTGTGTGTGTGTGTGTGTGTGTGTGTGTGTGTGCTGAAGGGTCTTTGAAGGAATATGGTAACAAGACAAAACACAGATGAGACCTTATTGAGAGCTCCTTTTCTGCACGCTAAGCTAGCAGCGCTCAAAAGCTATCACTGCTGCTGCCAGAGCCTTGTGTGTGTTCCTCTGTGTGTGTTCCTCTGTGTGTGTGTGTGTGTGTGTGTGTTATTAACTGTCCCTTTTATTGCTCACTTAGCTATGCTTTCATTCTACCATTGTCTGGCCTCGATCACCTCTCAGCGAGATAATATAAGAGCTTTTTATAGAATTATTCCTTTACTAAAGAGAAAGCTGTTTAGCTGCAATGCTCGCTGACCTTCAATTTCACACATACACTACATTTACATTTTAGTCATGTGGCAGATGCTCCCTACAAAGAGATTCATACAGTACTGTGCGCACATATTCAAAGAAAGCAGATAGTAGTACAATAAAAGACAGGTGGAGACGAACAGGAGAGAAGAAACAATAAAGACTGAGGAAGGGAATGGGAACGCAGGTTGTGTATGTTTACAGTGGAGTTGCAATTAATTGCATTTTTATTATTATTAATTCATGGGCTTCTTATTTGATCAGTTACCTGTTTTTTTTTTCTACTTACTTTTTTTTCTGAAACAATCATGACACAGAGACCACCTTTAGTTTGTCTGAGTTTTTCTCTTTTCAAGTCTTAGTCAAACACAGAACTGACAAAAATCTTTCAGCTTTAAAAACCTGAATTCTGCTAATGTTTGGCACTTTACCAAGAAAACTTTGAGATGAAGACTGACTTTTAGAAAAGCTTAATAAATTGACTATAACAGCGCTCCTTCGCAACAGAAGTTTCCTACTCGGGGATCAGAGCCCTCCCTAGGGATACAAAGACTGTACATTTAATGGGGTCACAAGTTAATTAAAGTGATGCGAAAGAAAAACACATTTCTCTTCTACCTACAATTTATATATCTTTTGACTCTTAACATTGGATGTTTTTTTTTACTTTCACTTCGTAAGACTTCTTAAAAGGCTCCAATGAAATGATCTGAGAAGAAAAAAGGCACTATTGCTTAAACTTCTTATTTCATCATCACGCTAAAGATTGCCGCCATTTTTAAAGGAAGTGTTCTCCTTCCTCCTGTTAATGAGAGCTTGGCAGTGTCACAGAGTATAGCTCGGTGCTTTATAAAAACTAAGAGATTGGATGATGCCAAGGCGGTGACCTGTAAGCAGGGACAGACAGTGACTTCTTTAAAATGAGCCCAGACTGAAAAAAAAGATGTAAACATTGCATCTCTGTATGTTTTTCCTGAAAGTCTAAGTGTGTTTTTAATTGTTGTAAGTTTCTATATTTTTTTTTAAAACTGTATTGCTTTATACAGCACTTTGATTTAAAGCACTTTAGAAATAAATATATTATTATTGTGTGAAACTGTGAGAGGCACATAAACCACACATGGTCACATACACTCGTTCCTTCAGATGGTGACTAACCTCGCTCCAGACCAGCATGGTCCCGAAGATGACCTGCAGGCCGTCAAAGAAGTTGTCCCCGATAATGATGACGGTGGCCCCCCCTGTGGTCCAACCTTCGCTCGGGCTGATGGCTTTGATGCTGGGGGTCGCTGTGAAATTAACACAGAAAATAGATTAGATGCTAACTAAGCTAATGACAGCCCATAAAGGCCGTGTACAGCTCCATGTACAGTCACCTTCTCCTCTTTTCATCTCTTACACACACCTCTCTCCCAGGGGTCGGGGGGCGAGCGAAGAATACTAATCAGAGTGATTATACACACACCCCCGTTATTAAACATCACCCCTGCCCCGTGTGTGTGTGAGGGCCGTGGCGGCGCGCTTGTTTTATGACACGTGGCAAAGCGTGCAGGCGTGTAAATGTCAGGTGTGCTGAGTGTCTGATCAAAGGCCACGCGACCGGGGGAGCAGAGCAGAGCCAACAGTAGCTCTGCCCTCTGAATACACCGCCCTTCATTAAGCAAACACTTAGCTCCCTGCTCAACGGGGACGCTCCATGTATATCTGTGCAGATATCTCAGCGCCCGCAGACAGGGTCATCTCAGCCCCTGTGCGTGGATGTTTGTAATGCGTTTTTGTAATCTTTCGCTGTTTTTCTATTAAAGCATATTCTTTATGTTTTATCCAACTAAAGTACATGGAACAACAACAATAAAGCACATTTTCAATAAATGGTATTCAATGTGCTTTTGGACCTTATCTGCTTGGAGATTACTGGATGTGATTGAAGAAAAGAACAGCATTGGGGGGAAAATACATGTTTGTACAAGCTAAATCTCCTCTCCTTAACAGATATGCAGCTTGTCAGACATGCTGTAATTCTGTAAAGCGGCATAATCCACTTTAGACTGGGCTGACTTTTTTTCTCCCCGAAGCCAGGCCTTTTGCTCTTCGCCTGACTCCCTGTTCTGTTGATCCTCCCTCAACAAGCTGGACTGATATTTAGCCTCCCCGATACGCCCGCAGAGATCAACGTTCACCAAGCAGCAATCTGTGGCCATAATCATGGCCTAAGATGCCTCCTTTTCACAGCCGCTGATATTATGTGCGCTCCATGTGCATGTGTGCATGTATGTGTGTGTGTGTGTGTGTGTGTGTGGATTAACCAGATGGTGGAACGTGAATCCATGTGATAGGATTATACTTTGGGGTGTTCCTCGGTGCCATCTGTTCAACTCTATGCACTGCTCATCTATTACCGCCTGAAATGGGCCCCCCCCAAAAGTTGTGTATCCTTGCGCACAAACTCAACACACACAACAACAACAAAAAAGAAACATTTTTTTTTCATCATTTCATCTTTTCTGTGTTCAATCATTTACTTTTACCCCTTCTTCTCATCATATCTCCAACCCCCACTCTGTCTTCCTTCATTTCTATTGTTCCTCAATCCAACCTCAGCCATCAGGAGAACAGAGAAGAGGAAATTCCCAAACAAATCTCTCTGACACAGTGAACATCTGTTAGCGTATACTGTTCATCCTCTTCTCTCTGTTGTCTCACTGACGTCTCCAATATGTCTCGTCTTTGTGAACTTTCTCTATCGCCTGTGAGACCAGTCTCAGGGACAAGTGGTCCACCTCACCTCTAGAGAATAGTCATTAGATAGACTTAACCACAACATTCAATCTTAATGCAATCTACTGTAGGCCGTCATGTAAATCCCTTCTTAGTATTTTGTCATTATCAACCCTGAGGTTGACTTTCCTCAAAGTAAAAAAAAAAATATGTTTCTCTTATTCAATGTCTGGGAAATCGAAATGAGAAAATAACTGGATTAGGGAGTTGGGAATCAGTGCTGGCTCCTAAATCATGTGCACATGTCATTATGAAGTATTAAAGGTTTGGGTCTGACTGTGCACACTGTGGGGTTGTGTATGTGTGTGCATGTGTGCGTATATGGGTGTGTTTGAAACCTGAGGGATGGGGAGTGATGGAGGGCTGGAGGATAAAAGCAGGTCTCCGAGGAAATAAAGCCAGTGTTGGCTTTAAGCAGAACAGACCTCATAAGACACATAGTGCTTATACGAGGCAGAGTAGAAGGCCCAGAGGCAGAGACCTGAGGGGAGCAAGCCACAAGGGAGAGACAAGAGACTCGCTCCAGCTACCACTCGCTCCTCTCTTAGCGCTAGTTAAAAACCCTACAGGAGAGGAAAGTGAGAATCTGGGGAGGAAGCAGCCTGAGAGATAAGACAAGAAAGCGAGGGAGCGGGTTTGAGAGGGATAGAGTGGAGACAGAGGAGGGGTTGAGTGCTGAGCCAGACAGGAGGGGGGGGAAAGGGGGCGAGGGAGGGAGAGCGAGAGAGAGGGGAAGAAGAGTTGAACAGACAGAAAGAAAGTGAGGAAGACAAAGAGAACTTTAGTTCCTGCGTTTAGTACCGTGTTCCAGGTAGGACGGCGTTCCTTCTGAGGGGTCCAGCCTCCGAGCTCGACGGCCGTGTTTGGAGTTGTTGTGCACAAACATGTTGTCAGAAACAGCCAGGACGTGACCCTCCACGCTCACTGTAGTCGACACAACCACCTGAGACAGGGACAGATGGAGACCATGGAAACTCAATATGCCTGTCTCTCACATCGACATATGCAGTGTTGTTTACAGAACAGGTCATTATGACTTCCTGTAAAATGTTAGTGTTATATTTCATACTTTTCCTCATCATATAAATTCTTTAAGTCAATCATCATCACTGAAACCAATACCTCGCTACACTGTGAGTCTGCACCACGGCTAAAGGAAGATCTGCTGTTTCTACGTCTTTGTACTTTTCAAAGAGTCACCACAGGGTTTCATGTCCCAGAGTGTGATTTTTGGTAGCGTTAAGGCGTGACAGAAGCTTGCAGAGATGCCGTTTCATCCCTGTTTCACCTCTGTTACTAATCTCATTGCAGCTCAGATCAAATTGTCTCACCATTGTATTACATTGACGACATTTAGGACTTTTACATATCCTACGACGCGTTACAGGGTCCTAAAAGTCCCACTTTGAACTGGCAATGAAAAAGGGGCTTATGAGAGATGTGAGAGAATGTGTTCTACATAGTCATAAAAATATTTAAAGTTAATTGATATATGATAAATGAACAATGATCGGGTCATCTGGCTATCTTACATGTAAAAGTGTTAAGAGATTCATTACCAAATTCTGTGGTGTTGAAAAGCATAGTTTAGCCCATTTTTGGGATTTTACAGCAGTTGTTAGTTCAGTTCATAGCTTAGAAATAACAACTGCTGTAAAATCCAAACAATGGGCTAAACTATGCTTTTCAACACCACAGAATTCAGTAATGAACTTTCACATGTAAGATAGCCGGATGACACGATCATTGTTCATATATCATATATCAATTCACTTTTTAATTAAATATTATTTTATGAATATGTAGAACATTTTGGAGCTAAAGTTTCATTATAATTAATTAAATATTTCATGCATATGTTGGCTTTTTTTTAAGTGAAGTGTAAAATGGGGATGCTTAAGTCACCTCTATTGTTGAACTAGTAATGAAGAAGAAGTGTATTGTTCACATCATGTGGACTGAAATGAGCTGTTTTTGTATTTGTATTCCTGATGTTACAGAAATAAATAAAGTCTTTATGCAAGAGAGCTCTTTTAAACCTTTGTTTTTCTTCTTTTGGGCGTGTAGCTCTTTACATGATTATTTTTTGTTTTTTTAAAAAGGACAAAAGAATGTTTCTTCCTTTGTTTATGTTGAATTTAATTCATAAGCAGTGCGTATGGTAATCTCTTTTGTCTCCGAGATTTATCCCTGGGAAAGCAAGGAGAGCAAATTGTGTGAGAGGGGACCATGTTTTTTTGTTTTTCTCTGAGAGGTTACGCTGTCATCATACATGCTCTGTAGAAAGAAAACTCTGCACATCCACACAGTGTATTAAAGGAGAAGAGTTGAATGTTACCTGAAAACGCCTCATGTCTCGAGGGTTCCCTGCATTCTTCAGGCAGTTCTGGTTACATTTTAGGAAGAACTTGAGGAAGAACCTGCACACACACAGAAAGAGAGAACAGAGAAACAAATGAGTTAGTGTAAGTGAGCAACTCCAACAAACCACAAAACACAAATAAAAGGAATAAGACCGCAGACAGGGCTCACACACTCTCCTTCTCTCATCCATCACTTGTTTATGACTAAGGCAGTTTGGGATGTAAAAACAGCCCAGGGATATTGAGTAAGATGCTACCTTGTATATCCATCTCGGAGCTGCTGTCACAGCTTGCCATAAACTCACCGGGGCAGCAGACACAACCCCCCCTTTGCCCCCCCCCCCAGCTGCAGAGGCGTGTGACGGAGGTTGTGCTGTAGCTACTATGCAGCACAGTGTTGCCATTCCTGCCTCTCTCAATCTCAGTGTGAGAGACCACATCAACAGCACCTGCCATGCATTATTAATAGGCTGAGATGGCAAGTATGGCTACCCACATCAATACTTAATGAGGAAGGGAGGGAGGGAGTGAGGAAAGGGGGGAGTGTATAAGAGTGGGAGGGGTACTGGAGGCCTGAAAAGCAGAAAGTGGACGTCTGACAATTTATTCCCTGGCCCCACCCCGTCGCTCAAAGCCTGATAACTTCTTCTTTTTCTAAGAGAGACTACAGTACTGAACATCCATCCACTCTCCCTGCTCTCTTGTCTGTCTGAAAAGAAAAAAAGATCTATATCAAATGAACTGAGAAAATAAACAGCACCGTGTACAAATAAACAGGAACCCTCAAAAAGGGGGGGGAAAATAAAACTACAACATTTCCCGCCCCCCCGTCCCTCCTCCTCCTCCGTTTGAGGTAGCTCAAAGAAGTGCTGACAGCTGAAACTGCTTACAATACAGATCTCCAGCAGCCAGAGAGAGAATCACTCCTTTGCTCAGCTTTTCTTTCATATGTCTTATTTTCTACCCACTGTTCATTTGTTATGGCTAGGATTCTGCACTGGGCAGCGCGTTTGGAGCCAACTGCCTGAGATACAAGCATGCTCGAGCGGATACATCACACACACACACACACACACACACACACACACACACACACACACACAGGCGCAAAGAGAAAGAGAGAGCGAGAGACATGTCAGGAGAAACACAGTAAGCAGCCTTGGACAATTGCTTCATCTGGGAAAAAAAAAAACAAAAAAAAAGAGAGCAAAGAAGATAAATGGACAGATCAGAGTTCTGTCTCATTTCAAGGGGCCGGCTTTACTGCTGCACGCATTACAAGCATCTGATGTAACACAAGAAGTGCTGAATTTATCCCTGACAACTTTTAAATGCATGACAGCTGGTTAGTGGTAGACGCTGTTCTCTGGGTAAAGAAGAGAAAGCCTCTTATGATGTGAATAACAAACTGTCTTTCATTCCTGCTTTCTTTTTTTTTTCCTTCTGCTTTTGTTTGTTTTCTGATTTACGATCTCTCTGGTGCAAGAGAGCTTAATCCCAATGAGTCTGGGGAAGAATAGAGACAGAGGGGAAGCAGAAAGTGAGAGGAGAAAATGATAGAGAGATAGACAGAAGGACGAGGTAGAGCGTATTTGAAATCCAAACGGAAAAGGCAGACCACCCTCCTGTATATTTTAGAAGCTGTAGGCCAATATCTCAATAATTCATGAAGCACAGAGCTGGAGGTTTTTTTTTTTTTTTTTTTCCACAGTGGCGGTCAGACCCCAAAGGCTGAGGGTCTCCCAACTTTCTTATCTCCTCAGGGTCAGAGAGCAGCCTCGCAGACAGCTGTGGACTACATCTACTTGTCCAACATCCTCCACCTTCCTGGCTGGCTCCCCTCCTGTTTAATTCATCGACTCTGCTCTTTCCACCAATGTGTCCTTCTCCTTGCTCCTCTGAGGTAGTCATGATGGACAGATGATGGATAAGTGGATACAGGAGACGGAGGGTCACTGGAGTCAGAGGTGGCCAAATGAGGAGGTTAAATATAAGAGTTGGGTTTGGAGAAAAAGAGAAGGAGTAAAAAAAAAAAAAGCGAGGGAAAAAATGTAGCCAGTGAGTCAGAAAAGTCAGCATGCCTGATTCACTTTGCCACATGTCAGCATGTCCTCACCCTCTCCTGGATCATCTGATTCATTATTTACAAGAGTTAAGGTGTCTGGAGTCAGCCACACGGAAACATTACAAAACTGTGGCATGTTGATTCTACCGTATACTCTATCTCATCTCCCCGAGAGCCGAGGGACTGGAATCACCGCTGCACACATTTACATGGATCAACTGAGAGAGGGGGTGTGGTGGTGGTGGGGGGGGGCATGGAGAGCAGTGCGTGATGATATGCAATAGTCAAGAGATTAGCATAAGGATTTATAGATAATCTGATTGACAGCTGACCAGTAAATATGGACAAATGATGACGATATCCGATCTTATTATATTCTGTTATTGCTTTCCTAAAAATTTCAATCCACAAAGAAGATCATTTATTGCTTCACGATTGTTTTTTTGGTCAGACATATCCCATAATCTTTGTCCTATTGGTCCCAAGAATAACTTCAGTGACATCCCCAATCGTGATGTACAGAACTTTCATTTTTATTTACTACTGATCATACCTCTGACCCATGTAATGTTTAAGATTCTAACAAATACTGTTGCAGAATCTAACATGAATCCTTTCTCTAAACAACTGGTTTCTGCTGGTCTAATGTCTCCTGCATAAAGCCTTGTTCTGAATCATGAATCCACCTTGTTTGTATTTGAGGCCCTCCCTGGTTTCAAGCTGTTTTATCGTGCAAACACAACAGCCACAAATATTACCCCTTTGCAAATTGCTGCGCCGTCCCCGGATTAAATGAAATAAAACCATTTTGCTCTCACATAATTACCCCCCAAATCCTGGAATGGCTATGGAAGTGAATTTGTGTAAATAACTGCTTGGCCTCTCAAAGCCTCGTGGCGTTAAATTTTCTAACAGCGAAAATGAACGAATAAACACATGCAGCCGGTCGCTGTAGTAATTTAATGATCTCACACTTTCATCATATCATAACGGCCGTTATTTGTCACTTTGGAGCAATTAAACACAAAATCACCCTCTGCCCATAAAAAACAAAACAAGGAAAGCAATTATAACACAACTTTTAAGTAATCCCTGTAGCATCTAAATATTATTACTGTGGTGATAAAGATTGTCTACGCGATTAGCTAACAGCACGGAAGCCTCCGAGGGACAATTCTGTTATATTTTCTAATAATTTTCCTACATTAGTAACAAATGAGGTAAAGAGTTGTTTCCTTGTCAAACGTAACACAGATAACTTCAGAGCTCTGCTGCTTTATCTCCCTCAGTACTTCTAGTTATTCATCTTTTGTGTCTCATTGCGCCTCACTTCTTTATTCCTCGCCCCTCCTCTCTCTGTTTTTTTTCTTGATGTGCTATAAAAAATGGCTGTGGACGATGCCATAACTCAGCCCTCTCCTCTCCGTCTCCCTCCATCCATTTCAGCCGTACAGATCATCTCCAGAAGAAAAAGCAGTGTGTCTGCCTCCTAATATGCTTCATGAGGTGTGTAATTCACCGCGCTCCAGAGGGGAGCCATTTGTCTCGAGGGTTAACTAAGTGACACAACAGCACTTCCCCTCGCCGGTTATACCACCGTGGGACATGCTGAACTAATCTAGGCAGGTAGAGAAGTGGAGGGATCCTGCACTCCAGCAATTAGCATTAAGATTTTTTTTTTTAAGGAAATCAATCCTTATGAAGTCCGAAGCAAGTTCAAAATGAAGTGTAAATATTTGTAAGTAAATATAACGTTACAGGGGGAATAAGGATTGATAAATAGGCAGGCAAAGTAAAAGTGAAGGCTGGTGCTGTCAGAGAACAAAATATCTTCCTCAGGTCCGGCTTTGTGTGTTTTCTTTTCCTCCCCTTGTGTTTCATTTTCGCCTCGTTTTTCTTTCCTTTGCAACTCTTTCTCTTTCTCCGCCATGCATCACTGACACTTCAACCGAGAGCCTGACTGGCTTGTTTTCCTGGTGACCTGTCTCCCTGCCTGCACCACACGTTTAAGTGTGGAGGCACACACACACACACACACACACACACACACACACACACACACACACACACACACACACACACACACATACACACACACACACACACACACACACACTAATTTAGGGAGATTTATGAGGGGGGCCTTGCACCAGGAGCCATGCAGGCTGACCCCAGGGGTGTAAGGGGGGGCACTGGGTGGGGGAAGGGGGCTTGGCTCCACAGGGGAGGAGGGGACATTAATAATCCAGAACCAGGTCTGTCTCTGGGCCTGGCCCTGGGCCCTCGGACAACGGTCTGTAACAGGCTGCAGTGGCCCAGTTTACAGAGAGAAACATCGAGAACACAAAGTGACACTAGCATTGGATACGTCTGATAAAACAAAGCCAAACACATGAAATCAAACACACAGAGGAACGTGAGAGCAGACGGACAAGAAGAGGACATCACACACATACATCCTTAGCTTCATTCCTTTGGAGTGCTACGCTTTAAAGTAGCAGCAAGCACCTCTATATTGCCCCCATGTCTATCTTAAGTGTCATGATTTATTCAAATAGAACATCTTACTGCGCTGAAAAATTCATCTCGAGCTCACTCCGTGCATCGTCCCATCCTCCTCCTCCTCGTCCGTATCCGCTCGATGTGTGTGCATGTCGTGTCAGCTGAATTTGCCCCGTTGTTAAATATTTCTCAGAACAAATGGACCCTGGAGGAGGGGGGGGGGAGATGCTAGGTCAGGGGAGGATCCGCGGCTGTGCCTTTTGCCGCTCAGGGGATAGGCCACCACTTGGGAGAGATCGCTCCTCGCTTCTCCATGAAGCCAGAGCTCCAGTCTCTCAGCTCGGGGACAGAAGTCCCAGAGACACTTAACCAATTGTGTTTCATCCATTTCATCCGAAAAGGATCATTCAAAATTCAACTGAGAAGTCGTTCCCGGAGCGTTGAAAGACAGGCAATGGGTTTCTCTGCTGCATGGGAACAGCGGAGAGACGAGGAAAAGAGAGCTGGCTTCAACAACTTGTAGGCTGATAACATCTCTACCTGTGGCCTGGATTTACACCAGAGCACCCGGGGGGAAATGCAACCAAATAAACATCTGTGCATGTGTGTGTGTGTGTGTGTGTGTGTGTGTGTGTGTGTGTGTGTGTGTGTGTGTGTGTGTGTATCAAAGCCATGATGAATAAGAGGCTGTCTGGATGATGGACAAGCTTGGCAGGCGGTGCTGATTGAAACACTTCCTCTGTCGGGGCCTGGCCCATTAATCTGATGGAGACAGAGACAAAGAGCGAGAGAGAGAGAGAGAAAGCTCCAGGCCCCCCGACCACAGGAGTAATGAAGGGTCCTGGTCCCTCTCACCTCAGCGCTGTCCTGCCATGCTGGGACGCTCTGCTCCCCTTGTCCAACCCAAACCCTGCCTCATGGGACTGACCAGTGAATAATGGCCCTGTCATCAGCCGGGGTAGATTCTGCAGCAGCGCCTAAGGGTGTGTGTGACCGTGTGTGTGTTTGTGTGACTGCATGCTTAAGCCCGCCTGCGCACCTCCCTGCGTAGACATTTACCCTAACTGTTCTCCTCTGTACCTTAGTTGAGAACCTGACGTAGTCACATTGAACAGTGTTGATTTAAGCGCATGTTAAACTTAATGCATAATGCATCCACTATATATAGCTTGATAAAGAGCATCGTGTCAACCCTCGACCGGCCCCATACATTGTCGGGATGAATGTGCCGCTTGCAAAAATTCTTTCTTTTTTGTTCCATTTAAGCACCGTATTAAATCATAACTACGACTGTGAGTGTACGCAGGCTCAAGGTTATGTTTCTAAATGCAGCAGGATCAGAAATCAGAAACTTAATTAGTGTGCTGTGTTTGTTCTCGGGTGAAAAGTTGTTCCCACCAATGGGTCTTCAGGGAGGAATATGGAAGCATGGAGTGGGAGCGGGAGAGAGCAAGAACATGTGAAACAGTGTGTGTGTGTGTGTGTGTGTGTGTGTGTGTGTGTGTGGTGTGTGTGTGTGTGTGTGTGTGTGTGTGTGTGTGTGTGTGTGTGTGTGATTGGGAAGAGAAAGAGGGAGATTGATACTGAGCAGATATGTATGGCTTCCTACAGAGTGTGTGTGTGTGTGCATATGTGTGGACATGTGTGTGTGTTGGCCTTGCATCCCTCTGTGTTTATCAAACATATTACAGCTCCTTCTAGATTCCTCACCTGCACACCCCCAGCCTGCTACATATGGCCCACCAATCACAAAATAAGGAATCATGCATACATTAGCATAGCTAATAGCCTACCCTCTCCATTTAATATGCAAATTCACTGAAACATTACTGAATGCCGTCTGTTCTAAATGAATAAATTTGAATCGCAATTAGAATAATCCTTTATAATTAATGAAAACTGTCAATTTTGGTTCATAAGTAATTTGATTAAAGTGGTGATGGGACACTTATGAAGTTCATCGGGCTGCAAGGAGTGTGAACACACACACACACACACACACACACACACATGCATGGAAACACACACATGAGCTGCATGACAACTAACAGCAGGTCCAGGGCTGCATTATTGATGAAGATGATTAATAAACTTATGAAAGTGGTTGTCACACATGCCAGACCTTCTTTTTTTTTTTATTCAACACAACTTCTTTTCACTTCTTCACTGCCGCCGAAGAACAACAGATCAATCACGCCTTTCTGCTACCTGACAGAGGAAAAGTGAGCGAGTGATTGAAAAGGTTCCCCAGCCTGGTGGTGCTGTGTCAGTGGCCTGTCTGTCCGGCGGGAGACACTGATGGACTGTCGGGGGGTGGGT